GAAATGATTTTTAACTTCAGATCGACCTTCATTATCAATGAAATATGTTTCCATAGAGATAAATGTATATGGTTGATTCAAATGACTTCTACTTTAGACAGTATTCGAATATATAATGTATACAAGAACTATATATATCAACGTCTTACACATGTCAATCCAACTGTGCTTTTCGGCAATGCTTTAGTAGATATCGGTAATGATTTCGGTCAATCACTAAAGTATTTTTATCATTTACTGAGAATATTACCTAATCATCATGTTGAACGACACAATATTTATTATCATCCAGAACGTATTTTTCGATTTATTAAAAATATATGACAAATCGATCTGGTATTTTTTGCATGCGCTCCATTACTAAAATTTCATTTTTTTTTCAATAATCTGGGTTATGCTTATTTCAAAACAAAGTCAAACAAAAATGCTTATTGGTCACGAAGAATACGCTACAACTTTGGATAGAATGAGTTTAGTGTATCGTGCTCGTGGTGATGATAACAAAGGCATGACCTCTTCTCAAGAAACATTACGCAGACGATATTTATTACTTGATAAAGATTATCTTCATCTTGCTTCTACTTATTATCAACATAGTCTCACACATAATGATCGTGCTGAATAGGATATTGCACTTAATTATGTTCAAAAATCTTTAAATATACAATTGATCAAATTGCCATACTATCATTCTGGGCTGAAACTATCGAGTGAACTTCTTCAAAGCCTTCAATGACGCCCATAAATGTTTCGAATCAGTTTTCAATCATTCATATTAGAGTTAATATTCGTTTGTTAATAAAAATAAAAATTCGTCGTATTTGATGATGATTCTCGTATGAATAAATATGTATTCTGTAGCTACGTAGTGTCAAAATAATTCTGTTGATCAGAAAAAAAATGTATCAAGGCAATAATCAAATTGTTCATTCAGAAAATAGATGAAAAAAAACATTTTTCAAGATTTATTCGAAGAGTGTTATGTATGTTGTTGACCCCGATACCTTATGTGCTTTTCTCAAGACACTATTCATGTATTCAAGAGGGTGGATGTCGGTGTGTATTGAAACATATTCTTCCTCACAACTGCACCTTCTTCCAACACATTCGAGTAGATGCATTTATT